GCATTCGCAGTACTTACTCAAAAGTCATGATTGCCCATCACTTTAAGTAAAAACTCACCTTTTCCACAGGTTGTTTCTAGGCATTGGGGGTTGCCAAGGTATGTAGGATTGTTGTTTCATTATTTATTAACGACGTCTTCACGATTGACTTAGCTAACAGTTGATCTTCTCAGTGCTTAACTTATCTGAGATGTATATCTATATTTTTAAAAGGAGGTTAGTGTATGAAGTAGGAAAGCTTGATAAATTACCTGATAACATAATTACATTGGGAGGACATAACAATGTTGTGTAATACTACCACCTTGTTGACACGTGATGGGCAATTCGGCAAGCAAAACTGATATGTTAACCGAGTGCGTCAAAGTACGGCAACAACAAATTCCTAAGGCTAGTTAATTATGACATCCATAGACTTGAGACAGTGGTATGAGGTGACGCTTACAGTGATACTGTGATTCAAATGACTCTAATGAAACCCTTCGAAGTTGAACCCTTTTGAAACATAGTCCATCATAAACAGTAATTGTGATTTCTGCTCTGATACCCCTTAGATGCTATTTAAGTAGTTATTGTAGTGCATCAATTTCATCCTCCGAATTGGAAGTATTTTTATTACTTCCAATTAAGGTGGGGTGTTTTCCTGTTTTCCCTAGTGGTACTATCACCTCGCTTAAGTTCACATCTGATTACCTTCTTCTTATCATTAAAAAATGTCCCAGCAAACCAAACTAACTAAAAGGTTGCTGGAGACTGTTTTTGCCATCATTCCAGGGATTTCAAAGGAGCCCTAAAACAAAGGATATATTTTTCAAAAGTATATTTATTGTTTAGGGTGACAAACAAACCATCTATTCCTTACTTTAAGAAGCAGTATAAATGTCAGTTAGGTCAGACAAATCTACTAATGCAGTAGAGGAATCGGGGTGGTTGAAATATTCAGGATTACTTTAAGACTGCAACATCACCTTAACGAATGGCTATGAATAGAATTTGACGGAAAGGAAGGCTTTCTGCTACGGAAGCAATTCCAGAAGAGCTTCATTAAATCATCGGTTCGTTTCCCTGCGTTTTAAAATCAAGTGCGCAATTGTTAACCAGCTGGGTAAGAGACAATCGGATAATCAGTGAAAGAATTCATTCAAACAATTGACAAGACTGCTTTGGCACCTTATCATCAAATGTGTTGTGTTTAAGGCACCAGAAAATGTCTGTAGGTGAGCAAAAGGCATTATCGTTACGCCCACAAGGTGGATAAATGCAGCTTGTCAGAGAAGACAGTCCGTCCGTGCAGATTTTGAGTTGACAGGGCTGTCATCTGCTAATTTAACGTCACTATTTGCACGTGAGAAGACAGAAAAATCAGATCCTAAATTAAGTATAATAAGAGATTTTCTCACTCCAGCGTGGCATTCCACTACCAGCATCCACATGAGTGTCATTTCAGGTCAATCACGTGGATGACCTGCTGTGATGAAAACAACAAATTACTACCGATTAATGTACTATCCGTCCTCTTGTTAAAATTTCATTAGGCAAACATCACATTTGTTGATTTCTTGATGTTTCTGTTTACCCAAGGTGCAACAAATCTTGGCAGAACGGATATCGAAAGGCATTGCTGGGTATTCGACAGGCCTTCCACATGACTGATGGATTCCAAAAAATTCCAGCCATCAGCTAGTGAGAGAGGAGCCTCTCAAACCGTTGACAAGTGTACTGTTTGTTTAGGGGCAAGATCCTTACCAAGCACATCTTTCTTTAAATTTTGATACTTGGATCCGCCCGCACTATATTGAGCACCCAAAGTAGAGGAACAGCGGCACACATTTTGATATCATAGTTAGTCGGAGGTATTTAATCTCCACTTGAGTACTCAACACGTACACTAGTAACTTCGCTTGGGTGTAAATTCTCGATTTTCTTATCTAAACCCAGCAT